GGGGGGGGGGGGGCCTCCACCTGCCTTCCCTGTGCCGCCCCTGGCCTGGCGCCCCCCAATTGAGCTTGGGGAGGCGGGTCACGACCCTGCCGCCCTTCCCTCGGCCGCCACGGCCTGGACTGCTGCATCGCTGACCGCCCAAGGACTACACGGGGCCTGGAGAGAGCCACACCGCGTTTTCCTGGCCCGCAGGGTGCATCCCCAGCCGCCAGGCCCTCGACCCAGGGTCTTCCTAGGGCTGGTTGCTTTCACTTTGCAAGGAGCTTTGCGCCTAAGTCTATATATATAAAAGAAAGTCCCCTCACCGTAAAATCAACACCCAGGCCAAACCACTGGACCTAGAGACACCAAATTCAGGGAGAGCACTCCTACCGAGGTGTAGGTGTTTGCTGAGAAGGGATTTTTAGAAATTTGACCCCTAAGTGGATCAAAAGGGGGAAATGTGCACCCCCCCATTGATTCCTATGCGGTTGCCAGGCAGCTCTCTCCCTGCGCCCCCCATTCTCTGATTGGTCAGCTGCAGAGCTCAGAGTTCTGGGGTAAAAAAAGCCAACAGTGGTTGAGTCTGCATTTGCATTTTTAAATTAGTTTCATACTGCTGGCCATCTTTCTCTATGCTTGTTTCAATGTTGTTTGGAGAAGATTCTTTTAAAGCAGTGCAGAGGTGCAATGACAGTGGAGCAGCCCGAAAGGACAATAAACATATGTGGACGTGCAAAAGTATGCTAGCACTCTTGAGGTGTGAAAACGATATCAAATGTAGACAGCTTTTTTGAAGATGGAGTCAAAAGGCTGGGACACTGGTGGGAAAGACAAATGGAGATTCAGCCAGTTACAGGGGACTGCAGACAGCTAATGACAGTTGAGGAAATCGGGAGTGGCCAACAAGCACCTGTGAAGTTCAGTAATGCTGCTGGCCCAGCCTCTCAGATGGCTTCTAACACACTCCCCCCACCTCCTACACCTAACAGGCGGTTGTCTGTCAGGTGCAGCAGCAGTTGCAGGGTGTGTAAAGCCACCAGGTAGCCCTCCCAGCAGTAACGCCTTAATGATCCTGCCAACCCAGCCTCCACATTGACTTCTAATACTCTTCACCCTTCCCCCTCCTACACTGGACAGGCAGCTGCCTCTCAGGTGTAGGAGAGGAGGTGGGATGCTTACAGCCATCAGGGAGATTTGCTCAGCAGGATTACCTTAGCCCTGCTGCTGGCCCAGCTTCCCTGATGCCTTTAAACACATTCCTCCCAACACCAGACAGGCGGGTGTCTGTCAGGTGTAGGAGCAGGGCCAGGGTACTTCATCAGGTTCATATGAACTTGCTTAGTATCTGATTGCTCGGATGGTGTTTTGAATACGTAGTTATGTCCCACTTCTTAAATGTAACATAAATGAGAGACAATTTTATATTAAAAGGGGGGGTATGCCCCCCCCCCAATTCAGTGCCCAGGCCAAACCCCTACACCAAGAAATCCAAAATAAGGGGAGTGCATTCCTACCATGATGTAAAAAAAAACAAACCCACAAAAAGATTTCTGAGAAACATGACCCCCAAGGGGGTTAAAAAGGGGCAAAATGTGTTCCCTCAATTGTTTTCCATGCACCATGCACCTGGCAGGCTTCTGTCTCCTTGCCCCCCCCCCATTGGTCAACTGTAGCTCAGAGTTATGAGGTAAAACTCGCCTCTTGCACTCACCTCCCTCTGAGTGCAGTTAAGAGACTGCAGACAGTTGAGGACAGGTACAGAAATCAGCGATTCAAGACTCCTGAATAGACATTTTTCAAAAAAACCCAGCATGGCAACTGAGTTAATGAATGTTCATGGGGAGATAGTAAAGGACCTTTCTAGGAGCCATTTCAATGCACGCCTCCCTCACGAGCCTGAAGAAATGTCCACCACATCACCACTCCCTCACACCAACTCCCCTTCACACCTCTCACCTCTTACTGCCCCCAAGTGTCAGCAAGCTGCCATTCTGTTTTCTGTGACCTCTGTGTACATATCCTTTCCCTGTTGTACCCGGCTTGGTTTCTATCATCCTGCTCCTGCGTTGGAATGCAAAAGATAACTGCTGGAGGTTGTGTGGGGGAGAAGATGCTGTAATGCTTGGCTATTGCTTTTCCCATGAGTACTGCACCTGTGTTTTGTCTAATATCCTGCCTGGTTCCCATGGACTGGGCGCGCAACCGTTTCATTAGCCCGCCAGCGGGAAAGTTATTCATTGGACCTGTATCTGTTTGAAGTTCCTTTATTATGCTTGACCTAACTGTGTATCCCCAGTTCTAACAAAGAACGTGTTTGAGTATGTCTTCAACGCTTTGAAATAAATTTTGCTTTTCTTGAAAACGTGGATTTATTCTCGATGCTTGGGGATCCAACATATTGTTAGAACTCCCTTTCTCCTATCGTTCCGAATCTGGCAAGATCATGAGCGGAATTGAGGGAAACCTACCTACCACGGAGGGGGACTCTGGATCGGTCCCACAAACCTCCGCGTCTTTGGTGTTCACGACTGCAGCCTCGTTGGAGGGTGCCGTGGGGGGAGCGATTCCCCGCCTGCCTGCACATCTGTCTTGGCCGCCTCCGACCCCTTCGCAATGGGGTCCGCGGAAGACTCACCAGCAGGATGATTGGACTATGTACAACACCCAGGGCACCCGTGAGGTGTACTCCCGTCGGGGGAGCGGATTACGTGAGAGTCTGTTTGACAAGGGATTGTTCCCGGAGCCAGGGTCTACCTCGGAGAAGGAGAGTCCCAAGCAAGACATCGAGGAGTGGATGTTCGAGCCGTCGGGACCGAGTGGTCACGCAGAAGATGAGGAGGGCACCGGAGCCTTCCAAACGGAAGAGGACTATGACCCACCCCCGGACTACCGCCCTCGGGACCCCATCCCGGAGGAAACTACCGGGGAACGACTAGCAGAACTGGAAGACTCGGTGAGAGACTTGTTGCGGGCATTCCAGGATGTGATGGAAGGCCTGCCGGGAATGTTGGACGTTAGAATGGCCAATTTCCTGGACGCACACGCCGCGCAGTTACAAGTTGCTCCTGCACCGGGATTTCCCGCGCCGCCGATGCCTGCCCAGCCGCTACAAGCACCGGGAGTCCCCGCGCAGCAGGTATGGCTAATTTCCTTGACGCACACGCCGCGCAGCAACAAGTTGCTCCTGCACCGGGACTTCCCGCGCCGCCGATGCCTGCTCAACCGCTGACGGGACCACCGCTGCAAGCACCGGGAGTTCCAGCGCAGCAGGTACCTGTACAGCCGCCAGTGAGACCGCCTCTGCAAGTGCCTGTGCAACCGCCGATGCCGGGGGGTCCGCCGGTGCCGGGTCTGCCGCCACCACTGAGGCCAATGCCAGCGGGGCCACCGGTTGTACCGGGTTTCCCTCCCAGGGGAGTTCCGGGTCAGCTGGGCCCGTTGGTAAGGCCTCCACGGCCCAGACCCAAGGATCTACTGGAGGCTACCTTCGACGGCAACCCAGATGAACTCGCTTTCTTCACGGTGAGGGTGCATAAATTCGTAGAAGAGAGTCGACACCTGTTCCGAAATGAAGCTGGTCTTATTGATGTCATCTCGGCAAGACTGAAAGGAGACGCCGCCACATGGTATGTTGGACTGCACAATGACCGCGGTCCGGAACTTTTGAATTTGCGAGCATTCATGTGGGCGCTGCGGGCGAGATTTGAAGATGTCAACGCGAGTCAAAGAGCTAAAGCGTTTCTCCGCACCTACCGCCAGAACAAGAAGTCGGTTCGCGAGTACACTCTGGAATTCCACAAGCAAGCCGCAAAGCTCCGAGACTACCCTGACCATATATTAGCTGAGATGTATCGCTTGGGTCTCAACGCAGACATCCGAGAAAC